AAAGAGAGAGAACAGTTTAAAATTTCAGTTTCCAAAAAGAATTCTCTCATGACAGAGCTTACGAATTCCCAATGAACGTGATTGGGAATGCTGATCACCACGGAAGAATATTCTTTTTTTTTTGAATGTTTCCAACTCTTAGTCTGGTTGACTGCTGGTAAGTAGCTGTCTTGACCACTTATTAAACAGTGGACGTGCTACTTGCTGTTCTATACAATGCTATTATCTACTGGCTTTAATATGAGTGGAATGAATGCAAATTCAGATTTGCGTAGCAGCTTCCATTCAAGTACCTTCAGCCATGAAGGTAGGAACAGCGGCCGCTGCCCTGCCCGCAGCTGCCTGCTCTGCAGAAGGAGGCCCCATCGCACCTGCCCGGCAGCCACCAGCCACGCCACCGGCTCTCACTGGCCGCAGCCCTCTTACCGGACCACGCAGTCCTGGCAATGAGACCAGTGAAGAAACGTGCCCTCCCCGCTGCTCCGTGTCCCCGTTTCCGGGCGGGGGGGACGGGCTGCAGCCCCATCTTAGCTGCCACACAGCTCTGTCCGACCTATGACTGCACGCGGCACTGCTCACAGGGTGCTGCTTCATGTTGCGCTGGCTTCCCTCTGCTTTCACACACGTTTAAACGCGATGGCTATTTAACTGCGGTTGATACAGTACTTGTGGGTTCTTAACCAAATAACCGGCCCGCGCATACAGTACTAACGAGAAAGCAATAGTGTAAATAGCGCTGTCTTTGACAATCTGAGACATCACCTTTCTGAGACCGATGGCTACAGTGACACGTGTGATACGGAGAAATGGGGAGGACTGTGAAGGATTCCTGACTGGAAAAATCTTGACTAGTTGACTAATGAACCACTTTCCAAGGATTTTTATTGAAAATATTACTGGTGATATAAGGGATGCTTTAGAGAAGACGACTGTTTTATGGTGGATTGATTAAAGGGTGAATGTATCAGGGGAGACGGGAATTAACTTTGTGATAGACGAGAAAGTTTTTGTGCTGTAAGTATGGACCACATCATCTTTTCATGTTTTAAAATGCATAGGTGTGGTAGGTTTTGAAACAATGTACAAAAATGAAGAGGATTTTTAATTTGTGGTACACGTACTATTTTTATGTGGTACTATGGCAACATGGTTATTCCAAGTAATTTATCATTAAACTCACAGCTGCCTGTCACGTCTTATTCTATTAATGAAACACAACAACAGAAAAAATATAAAACAATAATTCTTAAAGACAAAACATGCTCTGCTCTCTTGGAAAGCAAAAGTTTATGATTTCAAGAACACTAATATACAAGAACAAATTAATAATATATTTTTAGATGTAAAATGTATGCAAATCTTAGTTTGCCCAAATTAAGCCCAAATCAAAAAGCCTAACATCCAATTTAAGAAAAAAACCATCAATTTGTTCAACCTGAGGTCTTTAGATTACATCCAACCCTACTACACTTGCAAACTGGGGAGTCAGGATGCTTCAAAAATGCTTCAGCTTACTACTACCAGCAATTGAACGTGGATATAAAACCAGAGGTCTCTGTGCAGTACCACCGAACCACTGAGAGTAAATGCTTTTCTTCTCTGTTTCTCCTGAGTGTTTCCCTCCCAGACAACTGCTCAGCTTTTTTGGAAAACCTTGTTTCCTTTATCAGTCACATCTCTCACTAAGCCATCTTTCCTTTGAAGTGCAGGTGACCTTATGCATTTCACCGCTTCCTATCATACTGGCACCTCCACTATCCAAGATACCTGACTACTGCATCTAGGAGCGCCTTGGTTACTTGCTTTTCATATACTCGAAACACCTTAAGAAATTAATGTATAAATTGTCAGTCTCCTGAAAAATCAGTCACCTTCTTCAGGGCTGAAAAGAATGCTGTAAAAATAAAAAATTAAAACCCAAGCGCTCGCTGAGGGAACGGGGCGAGAGCAGCTTGAACCTGCTGCTGTCACCCCCAAGAAACGGACTCTCCACCCCAGGCAGCACCTCCGGGAGCAGGTACGAACTAACGAGCTGCTAATGCCCAAACGCTGCC